ACTTCATTGATAAGAAGCACTTCTGATGAAGTCTTAGCGAAGGAACTATCTCCAAAGTCGCGAGCCTCCAGTGAGGAGGTTTCGTGTCACTTTAGCAAGCTTTTAGATACTCTTCCCAGCCAGGTCCATCTCAATATGGCTAAGGAGTTGAGCGTCGCCATTACCATGAATTGTCTACTTCACTTGTGTAATGAAAAGGTGAGGCCATACTATATATTTGCTTACTTTACTTTTCTGGCATGGGGCTAGAAAAGACTGCTTGTTAGCCCGTAAATCACAGACAGGAAAATGCATCCTTTTCCTGTTATTCTGAATTATTGTCTCTGTAAATGCTTAAAGTATAGACAAATAGGCGTTTGTAATGTACACGCCAGTTTACAGAAATTATTTACATGGATAATATTTAAGGAAAATCTTGAATTAATGATGAATGTATATGCTAGCAGACTAGTTTAGGCATGTGGTTCGAAAGTTGGGCGTCAATTTTAGTCATAATTTGGGCTATACTTAGGGTGTGGCCTTATTTTTTCATAGATTAAACATATTTTTTGGTTTGCTAAGTTTTTATATTCAGGTTTTTGTAGCTTTGAAAGATTTCCTAGCCTCCTTATATCATTTTTATACAGATCCTTTATATCCTAAGTCTATTATTGCAATCAATTTTTCTAAGTCGAGCTCTTCGTCTGGAGAACATCTCAAGTTAAAAGATCAACTTTATGTTCTATTATCTAAAAAAAGCATTTGAATTATCTTATTAGGCGTGCGATACCAATTTAAATGTATTTTAGATATCCAAAGTTTTATTACCACTCGTATATCTTTTAATTTCTTAGTATGGACGTGCATTTGTGTAAAATTTGTACGGAATTCGCGAGATTTCACATTGGCATCTTTTTTTTCTTATACTTTCGTCAGGACCTATATCTATCCACCACGGATAAACTTGCCGATCTTGATATTTCGTGCCAGCTTCCTTTGTGCGAATTGCAACAGCTCGATGCTTATCGAGCGCGGTTCCAGGCCGTGCGAATTGATGCAGATGCTGCGATCCGCGCTCGTTCTGAACGATTTATGCTGGCAAAGCAGACTACTCTTGATTCTTGGATCGACGACCACAGTTCATCTTCGGACTGTGAAGAAAATGAAGAACTTATTTCAGCAATAAGCGAAAGTGTAGATGAGGCTAGCCAAAATGCTCTCTCTGCGTCGAGGCAGCGGCCTCGGAGAGTTTCTACCTCGGGACAAGCTTTGGATTTAGCCGCTAACCTATTACCCTCACCAGTGCACGAAACTGTTGAGGTAATAAGCGAAACTAGGGCTCACGCGGCTGTGGACGCTGCCTCTGACGCCATTAGCGTTGGCGACCAAGTGATAAC